GGAGTTTAGGGCTGTTGTACATAGGGTCACTATGAGTCGCAGGCAACTCGACGGCACATAACAACAACAAACAAACAACAACAGGTTCTCTGTCTCTACCTACCTATCTTTTGGTTTGAAGAAAGATAAAGAATTCATTTAAAAAATTTCTTTATGGAACAAATGCCTTAAAATAAAAAGTTATGTTACATAGTGGCTTTTAACCACCAAATGCAGTATTGGTAAATGTTAGGTAATTTAATATTTCCTTTTCCATCTCAAAATAAGCTTTGTCTTTTGGAGGACAAAGAATCTGCATGTTAGAATAAGAGGGAGCAAGTTAGAGGCAGGCGGTCTCAGGCCCCAGCGGATTTATATGTTTTCTTTTTTACTTGCAGACGTGAAGACATCTTATCTATCCTCACAGCTGTCAACAATGATGTGAGCCAGCAAGAGGATTTAACGGGGACAATGAAACAGATGCCCCAGCCTGCTTTTACACTACGAAGAAAACTGGTATTTCCTGTGCCTCAGGAAGCCCTATCCTTAGACTAGAGGGTTTTTATTATTATTATTATTAAATTTTATTTGTTTTAATGAACATTTACAGAGATTTTGGTTTTTCATTCATTCATTGTTGCACTGTTTTCTCTACCCTCCTCCCCAGTTCGTTCTTCTCCCCCCCCCACCCCATGTCTGTTTTGATTGTCCAATTGCCACGGGGCTTGTCAAAGCCAGTTCTGATTAATCTCCTTTGTTAGTGTGTCCTTTGACATTCCCTATCACTCAGACTAGAGTTTTTTATGCTCTTAGACACGCAAGGAAGCTTAGTCATCTCCAATCGTAGCCAGTGTTGAAATAGGGGACAAATGGTGAGCTGGTCTCTGCCTATCTTCTAGTGATAAGAAATGTTGTTTTTGAGCATAGTAAGTTATTTTTGTTATCTTTGCAAATATGAATGTTGGACATTTGTTTTCCTTTGAAGAATTGGAATATAATGTGTGCCTACAATGGATGTATTCTGAAAGGCATATCTGAATATATGTATAGTGAATTCCAGTGCATCCTTTGTAAACGCAGGTGATCTTGAAATATGTCAGAGAATGAAGAAGAAGAATTCTGAGTTACCTACTTTATTCTAATTTGTGTGAAAGTAAATTCATAGTAAATTCACTATGAGAATTTTACTGTAACTGGTCATAACATGACTTTAAATGTTATTTATCAAGGAAAATTAGTCTAATATATCAGGCTGACCTTCCAAACCATGGTTCATCTAAGTCAAGGCCAACAGTTGGTGGTTATAGTTTTTCCCACTGTAGGTACACACACACACACACACACACACACACACACACACACACACACGAATATTTTCCCCAAACTGCGAGGAGTTCTTTGACTTAATTTCAGCCCATTTCTGTAAGTAAAAGATGACATGATACAAAAAGCAGAGGCTCAGGAGCTCTGGGATTTTGAGGCTTATCTGGAAAGTAGAGAAAATATGCTTTATCAGCGGGATCAAGGAGAATATCTTTACATATATTCACATAAGGTGTGGTTTGGCACATGAAAGGCATTTAGAGGAGGCAGAGGTTCCTGGTAGTAGCCTAAATGGAATTTGCAGGTTAGATTTCCTTTGTGTCTAATTCCAGTTAGTTAGTTAGTTAAATTCAATTTCATTAGTGCAAAAGGTGCTCTCCTTGGGAGGGACTGGAGAGCATTATGCTGAGTGAACTAACTCAGTTCCCCCAAAACAGCAAATACTGTATAAAACCATTATTGTAGAATGAGTATAAGGATCCTAGGGGGTGGGGGAGGGTGGAAGCAGAGGTATGAGGAGGTGCAGGGAGAGGGAGTTTGTACAATTTGATGGAATCTGTTCTCAAAGTACTGAAATTTTGTAAATAAACTAGTATTTTTTTTTAAACAGAGCTCTGGTGGTTTAGAGTGTTGTGTGCTGCACTGCTAATGGACAATTTGGTTCCAATCTACCAGCTGCTCTACAGGAGAAAGGTGGGCAGCTCCTTCCTGTTAAGATTCACAGTCATGGCTACCCAATGGAGTTTGGCATGAGGCAGGATCAAGTCAATGGCAGCCGGTTCTTTTCTCAGAGAGAAAGGGGTGTTATTAGTATCAGAGTCCTTGGGTGGTAATGTGGCTGCTAACTCAACGTTGACAGTTCAAGTATATCCAGAGACATCTTGGAAGAAAGGCCTGCTTATCTACTTTTGAAAATCAATCATCGAAAATGATGGGTTCATTTCTTTATAAGAATAAAAGAAAGAAAAGAAAATTTTTCAGTATACATATATACAAGTGAATGATATTACATACATTTTTTAAATTAGTGTACATCACTCTAGTACTTTATTGAAATAAGAAAACTAGTCTGCTTGGATTTTACTCTGCTATGCATGAAGTTGTTATGAGTTAGAATCGACTTGGTGATGACTAATTTTCTGTTAGCAGCAAATCCACACTAGCAGAGCTCATGATAAGGAATGAAGATTCACCAGCTCACAGGCAGGAGGCCAGATCTGGGCCCAGGTCCAGTTGAGAGAAACACTGCTGATGATAAGTTCCTTCAGATATATTTGCAATTTGACCTAGAAACCTCCCAGTCCACTCCACATTTCTGTTATGTTTGAACTTAGAATTGTAAGAGGTCAAATTCTAGAACCAGGAAACTTAATGCTAAGATCCCACCCTCAGAGCCTCCTGTAGCCTCCTCAAAGCATGCTCTGTGGGCACAACTGAACATTGCTGTCTGAGTCATTGAGACAGACACAGACACCCAAAGAGTCATTTTGTTCATTAGTCATTTTGCCTAAAAAGAGTGTGTGTATGCTCTCTCTAGTGTTCCCTTGCAGACCTTGTAATCATTATACCTGTTGTATTGATGTCTGTGTGTGCATGTGTGTGTGAAAGGGTGTAGGAACAACAGGAGCTGATTTGATCACAGCTATTTGACTGTGAATCCTTGTGTTTCTAGGAGTCACAGCCATTGACTACCCAGACATTTTTGAAAGAAAGGAGCGGATTGAGTGAGCTTTCATGATATTTTACTTAGTTTTGCTCAATCTATGACAGATATAAATTTAAAAAAAATGTTTAACTGATGTAAAATAAAATGAAGTTATTGGAAATACTTGAAAAAATGGTATGCAATATTAGAATTATTTAGTATCGATACTGTTGTCGTTACTAGAGGCTATGGAATTGCTTCCAATTCATGCCAACCCCACATAGAAAAGAATGAAAAACTCCTGGTCTACTCTCCCTCCACCTCCTCATTGCTATTGAGTTGGAATTGACGCATAGTTGACCTACCTGCTGGTTTTCCAACACTGTAAATGGCACAGGAGGTGATTGCCCGTCTTTCTTCTAAGAAGCTGCTGTTGGAGTTGAACCACTAGAGGCTCAGTCTTTGGGTTAGCAGAGCAACTGCCTATGGACCACACCACCAGGACTCTCTAGCCACTACTAGTGTTTGTCAGCCTTGAGACTATTAGCCACCAGAGAACCCACTGGCCTCTGCTTCTGTGATTCCCATTGGTGGTGGGCTGTTTGATATCATGGGCTTATCCTTAGCAACATGTTAGATTCTGCCGTTACCTAGATGATGTTAAACATAGACACACCAGGTACAAAGGACACTGTCCAATCAGAGCTGATGCTGATCGGTATACTGCATGGTGAATGCTGCTGAATAGCAGCCCTTTATCAGTCATGAAATCTCCATTGAGGTAAATCAGTTTAGGAGGGGTTTTTTTTTATGCATCTATATTTTTTACAGTGTGTTTTACGCTTTCCTTCATTTACATGGTGCTTCATGCAATCATTCCCATTCATTGTGTTTTATAAAATTAATCACCATTAATCTATGCCTATCATTTCTCCATCTTTTCAAGTCTTTACTGGATCTTTCTCATTTCCTTTACCCCCTCCCTCTGCCCACCAAATTCTGCTGTCCTGTAATTTCCCCCCTGCCTACACTCAGCCCCACTGTTCTCTGCCCTTCCCCCCTCAGACCTTCATACACATTTTGCTAGTAATACTTCTATTTTTACAATAATGGTCATATGTAGTATTTGTCCTTATGAGACTGAGTTGGTTCACTCAACATAATGCTCTTCAGTCTCTTCCTATTCAAATTCATTCCTCCTGAGTGCTGCATAATATTTTATCATGTGAATGGAATTTACTACAGTTTCTCAATCTATTTGATTGTCGTTGGACATTGGAGCTGTTTACATGTTCTTGCGATTGTGAATAACACTGTTATGAACATTGCTGTATAAATCTCTGTTTATGTCTCAGTTCTCATTTCCTTGGGGTTTTATTCTTAGCAGTGGAAGAGCTGGGTCATATGGAATCTCTATGTCCAGCTTTTTGAGGAAACATCAAATTTCTTTCCAGAGGGGTTGTAACATTTCACAATCCCACCAACAGTATATGAGCGCTCCAATCTCCAATTCAGTAATTTTTGGGACCAAGCATGATTCACAAAATCTTCCAAGTCAAACATGTGCTGAGCCACTTAGTTAAGATGTTCTCAGCCTGATGTCTTAGAAGTGTTTGTGGATTCATTCCGATCATCTGCGAGTTCTCCACCTTAATGTTCAAATGCTGCAATTCTGTTTGGGTGAAAGTATTTAAATATTAATCTGACTATACCCTGGCTGTTCTGGATGACTGCTTCATATCTGGGCACCATCATGCAACTGTGGCGCCTGAATTGTGAGATCCAGCGACACGTAACAACTTTATACTGAACAACTTTTAATTGTAGTATGAGTGGTGTCTTTAGCTAGAAGAACTCAGATAAATTGCCAGGTGCCAGTGATGAATACATTTGAAATCCGCTCCAGACTCCTAGCCCACCATTCCGCTCTCTGCTTACCTCTTCTAAAGGAGAGCACTTCCATCCAGACATGGAATCATCACGAGCTTGGGTGCTTGAAAGGACTCTAGATGTTTTGTGGCCCAGAGCTAGCATGTTAAACAACTTGCCAGAGCCTCCTGACTGTCGGTAGAGGAGGCTGTGTCTCCTAATTTATAATCCTGTGCCCTTAAGCAAGGGGGATTAATTTTTGTACAGCTTTAGTTGCTCTTTTTTCTGTTTGACATAACCTGCCTCTTTAGGACTATATTAGAATTTAGGATGGTTCTGAGAGTAACTCAGAGTCTAAATTTGAATACCAAACCAAACATATATGTTTCTATCCTCTAGTAGGCAACACATTGTTGGTGACAAGTTATTTATTTTCTGATTGTTTTTGGTTTTGTTAAAAGCCTGTAGTTAGCTCTTAAGGATGTGATAAAAAACAAACAAAAAACACACACACTAGCAATGTATTTTGTAGCTTTGAATAGGAATGAAGGCTCTGAAAATGGAGGCTTTTTGAAAATGTACTCAAGGAAATTGCCTATTTCGATTTTCCCTCTTTACGATTCTCCTTCTCCCCAGCTTGTGCAGGGCAGGTCCTCTGCAGAACCCGTTGAGTTCCTTATGTAGCCAGGTTCTACCCTCCAGGGCCTTGTCCTTCATT